ATAATAGGCATTTTAAATTTGTAGTATTGATTATGTTTCTCACATATGCGATCTAAAATAAAGATTCTTAATATTGTTTATATTACGTCGCCTGAAAGAAAAACGTTGTTTCCTTATTGTACCGATTATATTTTATAAATAATCATAATCTTATTTTGAAGAGATACCTTATATGAGGAGATCGTGGAATTATGTTTGCCATTGTATGAAGAGCTTGATTGACTTTGAATGTTTGTGGAACTATACTTGTGAACTGTTACGATCGGCGGTGGTGCCGGTTTCAGTGGTTGCTCGATGAATTTTCGATCTTAGAACATAATCACTTATTATGAACGAGTGACATACATTCAAATATAATTATATATGTTTTGACATAAAATTTACGTAATTTCATTACAAAAAGCAGTCTATACATGAAACTAAACAAGCTAAAAAGTAAACGAAAGTTAATTCAATATGAAGTGCGTAGGATGTAAAAATGAAATAATAATAGATATATAATAATAATAGATATATAATAATTTATAGGAAGTTTTACCTATATCTTTGGAATAGACCTAGCTAAATAAAATGAAAAGATTGTAAAATAATTCATGTACAGCTAATATGGTAGACAGCTATACATATATGATTTTACATATTTGAAAAGCACAATTAATGAAAAAACTTGTACATTTATATAGTTATAATTATAACTTATTTATATTTATGTAGTTATAACTATATATAAATGTATAAACACAAAAATATATGTCTATCATCTAATGAAATATTGTTTTTAATAATACAGGAAGAGGATGGCAAACAGGATACATTCTTAAACAGCTCTACCTCCGGAATGTAGGAGGTCGTGCACTAATTTTACTTGCTCCTCCGTTTCTCCAGTGCCTACAAACAAACAATTAATGAGATCTATTTTATTAGTAAACTTAATATAAATTTTACAAAAAATATTGATCTTATGAAATAAATCAAACAATTCGGAAAACGCAAATAGAGCTTACAATTAATTCAAGATCTAATTTGAATATTCAAAATATATACTTTATATAAATTATAAAATTAAATCGTTTTTGTTCTTAGATTGTTAAACAAAAATTTGATTACAATGATGTATATTGATTGTTAAGAAATTTAAAGGTATAATTCATATTTTTTTAGTTTTTAGAATAATGATCTCAAATTATTGGCAATAAATATTAGGTATCATATTATTGTTCACAGTTCCGTGAAATAGTCTCTCATCCTTTATTTTTTTTATTTGATACTTAATCGTTTATTTATATCATACCTTCTACGATGACTACGCAACTAGTCTCGTCTTTGCCATGTTTATTAGTTGCCACACAACGATATTTGCCGCTGTCCTCCGGCTTGCAGTCAACGATCTCCATTGTGACGACACCGTCGGCGTTGCTCATGGGGTAATTGTACTTGGATAATTCTTCTCTGTCCTTGTACCATTTCACGGTGGGCGGTGGATTGCCGCTCAGACAGCAGAGCAGCTTGCAAGTCTGCCTGATCTGTATGACACGTGGTCGCAACAGGAACGTGAAGCTCGGCGCCGACTCGATCGTCTCCAACCACACGTTGTACCCAAGTGGTTCTCGTCTACGTACAGGATGCAGCTCGGGCCTGTACTTCGGAATTTCTCTCGGCAGTGCTGAAAGAACGAGAAATGGAAGAATCATATATATATATTTTTCTTAGATTTGTAAATGTAAAGCTGATAAAAATAAAAACATCGATTAATATTCAATGACAATTAGATAGCCCAAATATAAATAGATTATTCATCGAAGTATTTAAAAAATGTAAAACCGTGTGCATTTAAAGTCACATATTTCAAATTAATACTTTTCCTAAATTTAAATGAAATATAAATTAAATTATAGTTATCTAAAAATCTTTATCTAATTAGAAGTATCAAGTCACGTGGCAAATTATAATTTTCTTCCAAAATTACGTAATTGCAGCATATATAAAATTCTGATGATAGAAACTCTTACGTTGTACATTAAGGAAGACGACTTCTTCACGGTAACCATAATGATTTTCCGCGCGTATAATGTACTCTCCTCTATCTTCCAACTTAACTCTGTTGATAATAAAGGTGTAATCGTCACCGTGGTATCGCTTCATAAATTTAACAGATTGCCGTAACTCTTGATTGTTATGTGACCAAGATAAGGTTGGTGCCGCAATCGCGATCACGCGACAAGTGAATTTCACACTCTGTCCTTCATAGGCGAACGCGCTTTGCGGTTTGATGACAAATCTCGGTGCTGCTTGTCGACGATCTGTAAAAATATAATTAATTTAAGAATTATATATTAGCGTGATTTTTTTATAATTATTTTATATATTTAAATTTATCTCAGGTATTTAATATTTATTATTAATATTTATTAATATACACACATATATATACAATTTTAAAAATGTCTGATAAATTAGACGTAATTGGAACTTTTCTGATGTTTGAATATACTAATTTATAGATGATATTTTTGTTTTGTATTAGAATTAGTAATTGATTTATGTTTTAAATTGCTTCGTGTTTTCCGAGACAAACTTTTATATCTTCCATGAAAATTATAATTATTTATTGATTTTTATGTATTGACTCACCGAAACAAGAATCATAAATTCTGTATTTCTCGATTAAAAGTTTCCTGAGCGATGAGTACTCGGCTAGGCGACCAATGGGAAGGACATACTTGTCCCAGTTTTCGTACTTGGCACGCAATCTATCTCTGATGCTAAGATAACGACTGTTAGCGATTGGATTGGTCCACTTGCTATGATCGCCGGTCAACCATGGATGAAGGAGACACTCGTGCGCAGTCATGCGCTTCCTGATGGATAAAACATAATAATATAATATAAACGAAATAATAACAGAAAGAATAACAGAAATAATAACAGAAAGAAGCAGAGAGAAGAGAGGAAGGTTTGTGAAAAAAACATACTCTTTATTTTTGACGAGTAGTCGTCTGATGAAATCTTTACCCTCCTCGGAAACGTCGCGGAATGCCTCCTCGTCAAAGTCCCAGTCGCATGCCTTCACATTTTTCAAGGTCTCGATGTCGTTATCACCGGCGAATGGTGAAAGACCGCTCAATCTATGCAAACGATGCATGCTAATCGATAGAGTTTCTTTTTTTTTTTTTAATAATATATTAATTAACATATAAATATACGTGTCTCAGTTACTTAATTTCAGAAACTTTCAATAATTGCAATAACTGCTTTAAATAAAATTAAATATTTTATTATAGATTATTTATTACTGAAGTTTTGTCATAATTGGAACTGTCATAGTGAAACAAATCTCTCAAGAAACGCGAAATATTTTCTCGCTTCTGTTGTTATGTGATAAAAAGTGTACTTACAGGACATAAGCTAGTACACCACAAGCCCACATATCGGTGTAAAAACCGACAGGTTCACGTTCAACGATCTCGGGGGCGGCAAATTCAGCCGTGCCTGTACTGATTTTTACTACTTCGTTCGGATCGAGTTTAGTAGCTAGACCGAAATCGATCAGTTTCACATTCGTGCTGTTACGAGTTTGGCACATGATGTTCTCGGGTTTAATATCTAAAAATAATCAAATATTACATTAAAATAATAGGAACATTTAATAAATTAGCTCGCAGTATTTATATAAATAGCATCTAAAATTTAACATATAAATTTTTGGAGAAGCTTTTGATTTAAAACAAAAATTATCACTATAAAGAATAAATATCATGATAATTTATGCTTTATTTTATATTATATA